CAGATGGGCATGGTGGCGTGTGCCTGTAATCCCAGTTACTCAGGAGGCTGAGGCAGGAGGATCACTTGAGCCCAGGAGGCAGACCTTGTAGTGAGTCAAGAAAATGCTACTACACTCCAGCCTGGGTGATGGGAGTTAAACCCTGTCTCAAACAAACAAATGGAAAACATTGGCCGAGCGCAGTGGCTTACGCATGTATTCCCAGTACTTTGGGAGGCCAAGGCGGGTGGATCACCTGAGGTCAGGAGTTCGAGACCTGCCTGGCCAACGTGGTGAAACCCCATCTCTACTAAAAATACAAAAATTAGCTGGGCATGGTGGTGCATGCCTGTAATCCCAGCTACTCGGGAGGCTGAGGCAGGAGAATCGCTTGAATCCAGGATCGGGAGGTTGTAGGGAGATGAGATTGCGCCATTGCACTCCTGCCTGGGCAACAAGAGCAAGACCCTGTCTTAACAAAAAAAAAAAAAAAAAAAAAAATTAGTCAGGTGTCGGTGGCACACGCTTGTAGACCCAGCTACGCAGCAAGCTGAAGCAGGACAATTGCTTGAGCTCAGGAGTTTGAGGTTGCAGTAAGCTATGATGGCACCACTGCACTCCACCCTGGGTGACAGAGCAAGACCCTATTTCTAAAAGAAAAACAAAAACAGGCAGAAGCCACTGGGAGCACAAGTGAAAGGAACTACTCTAGGTCTTTTGGGATCAGTACAAAGCCACCATTCCAGTGGCAATGTGAGGTTGATAGCTGGAGGACAAGGGAAAGCTATACAAAATAGAGGGAAGAAGCATGTGCAAAAAGCTAGAGGAGATCACCTATGGAACTCGAACTGGTGGCCTGTTTGGAGATTTTAAAACGCCAGCCATCAGCCATGATATTTATTGAGAGCTATTCAGATTTTAAAGTAATTGCTTGACTAAATGTCACTAGGCAACAGTATCTTTCTTAGCCTTATAATGTAAACATGGGCCAGGTGGAGTAGCTCACGCCTGTAATTCCAGCACTTTGGGAGGCTGAGGCAGCCAGATCACCTGAGGTCAAGAGTTCAAGACCATTCTGGCCAGCAAGGAACACCATCTCTACTAAAAATACAAAAAATTAGCCGGGCATGCTGGCACAGGCCTGTAATCCTAGCTACTCAGAGGCTGAGGCAGGAGAATCGCCTGAACCCAGGAGGCAGAGGTTGCAGTGAGCTGAGATCACGCTATCGCACTCCAGACTGGGCGACAAGAGCAAAGCTCCATTTCAATAAATAAATAAATTAATTAATTAAGTAAACATGATAAGTTGATGATGTATCACAAATTCACCATCAAGATAATAGTTTCAGAGTGCAGGTTGACAATTTCATAGGGAAAACAGAAGTAAAGAAGAATAGCCAGAAATAGAAAGGCACACATAGTGACTTCTTTTTCGAGAGTTTAAATGCTCTGAAAGATCATGAATAAATAATATTACTTTCCAAACTGTACTAATGTATTTCATTAGATGTATATAAAACAAAATACTTATAACATTGTGGCTGTTATTCAAACAATGGAAAGAAAGTGATGCCATTTTCCATTTAGTTTTAAAAATCAAAGATATGTAAATTTACTTCCCATATCTTGTTAGTGTACCTTCTTTTTTTCCAATTCCTGCTTCTTCTGAAATAACAGCCAAGTATCATTTGATAATACTTAAGAAATAATAAAGTAGGTATGATACTTTTTTTTGAGACAGTCTCGCTCGTCGCCCAGGCTGGAGTGCAGTGGTGCCATCTCGGCTCACTGCAAACTCTGCCTCCTGGGTTCACGCCATTCTCCTGCCTCAGCCTCCCGAGTAGCTGGGACTACAGATGCCCGCCACCATGCCTGGCTAATTTTTTGTATTTTTATAGAGATGGGGTTTCACCATGTTAGCCAGTATGGTCTCTATCTCCTGATCTGGTGATCAGCCCGCCTCGGTCTCCCAAAGTGCTGAGATTACAGGCGTGAGCCACCACGCCTGGCTGGTATGATAAATTTTAAAACCACCACAGGGCTTAGAGTTTGGGAGGTTCCGGCTCAGACCCATGTTAATCTCCTTAATTTCAAGAATTCTGTAATCAAAAATGAGTTTCTGTCTTAGAAAGCCTATCACAAGAAACAGTAGTGAGAAAAGCCTACAACTCCAGAAAATATTGGTCATAAGAACTTTTCCTAAAAAACAAACTACACAAAGTGAGACATGCAGTTGGGGTGTGGAGAGAGCAGTTTCTTTATTCATTTTTAGAATTGGAAGGGAGAAATCTGGCCAGGTGTGGTGGCTCATGGCTGTTAATTCCAGCACTTTGGGAGGCTGAGGTGGGTGGATCACCTGAGGTAAAGAGTTCGAGACCAGCCTGGCCAACATGGTGAAACCCTGTCTACCAAAAATACAAAAATTAGCTGGGTATGATGGTGCATGCCTGTAATCCCAGCTATTTGGGAGGCTGAGGCAGCAGAATTGCTTGAACCTGGGAGGCTGACATTGCAGTGAGCCGAAATCATGCCACTGCACTCCAGCCTGGGCAAGAGTGAGACTCTGTCTCAAAAAGAAAACAAAGGAAAAAAAGAAGGGACAAATCCTGTTGATAGAGTTTATGATGGCTGATGTCCTAGAAAGTACCGATTAGAAAGTATTAATGTATGTCTTAGAAAGTAATAACGGCCTGGCGCGGTGGCTCACGCCTGTAATCCCAGCACATTGGGAGGCTGAGGCGGGGGGATCACAAGGTCAGGAGTTCAAGACCAGCCTGGCAACATGGCGAAACCCTATCTCTACTAAAAACACAAAAATGATGCCGGCCTGGTGGCAGGTACCTGTAATCCCAGCTACTCAGGAGGCTGAGGCAGGAGAATCACTTGAACCCGGGAGGCAGAGGTTGCAGTGAGCCAAGATCGTGTCATTGCACTCCAGCCTGGGCAACAAGAGCAAGACTCCATGTCCAAAAAAAAAAAAGGAATAACAAGATTTATTTCACCAAATTTAAACAGAATTCACATTGACTTCACAGCCCTTTGAATATACTTGAACTTTAAGTTCAACTGTACTGTTGACCAGTCTTTCCAGTGTTACAGTACAAAGAGCGTGGGCTGCTGAACCGGACTGACCAAATGGGAAACTCTGCCAAGCCACATGTCAGCTATGCTTCTTGACCAACTTATTATGTTGCACAGGTGGGTCTTGAACTCCTGTGCTCAAGCAATCCTCCAGCCTGGGCCTCTCAAAGTGTTGGGGTTACAGGTGTGAGCCAACATGCCTGGTTTCCCTAAATTACTTAATCTCCCTGGGCCAGTTCTTTTACTCATAAAATGGATTTGTTTCTAACACAGAATTGTTGTAAACTTAAATGAGTGTCTAACATGCCTCCTATTGCCAGACTCTCAGAAAACTTTTGCCCAGTCAACTAATGTCCAGCAACGAGGCTAGTGACTTTTCCTTTTTTTCTTTTTCTTTTTTTTTTTTTTTTGAGACAGAGTTTTGCTGTGTCGTGTGGGCTGGAATGCAGTGGTAGTTCGATCTTGGCTCACTATAACCTCCACCTCCTGGGTTCAAGCTATTATCGTGTCTCCGCCTCCTGAGTAGCTGGGATTACAGGTACCTGCCACCAGGCCGGCCTAATTTTTGTGTTTTTAGTAGAGATGGGGTTTCGCCATGTTGCTAGGCTGGTCTTGAACTCCTGACCTTGTGATCCCCCCGCCTCAGCCCCCCAATGTGCTAGTATTACAGGCGTGCACCATCGCGCCCGACTAATTTTTTTTCCCGAGAGGAGTTTTGCTCTGTCGTCCAGGCTGGAGTGCATTGCAGGGATCTAAGCTCACCGCAACCTCTGCCTCCCGAGTTCAAGAGATTCTCCTGCCTCAGCCTCCTGAGTAGCTGGGATTACAGGTGCGTGCCACCACGCCCAGCTAATTTTTGTATTTTTAGTAGAGACGGGGTTTCACCGTGTTGACCAGGCTGGTCCCGAACTCCTGACTTCAAATGAGCCGCTTGCCTCGGCTTCCCAAAATGCGGGGAGGCTAGTGATATTTAACGTTAAATAACTTTGGCCTCCAAAGATACCTGTTTCCATTTTAAGACACTTCTATTTAGTTTTGGGAGGGTAAACTAGTTATATTTTAATAATGAAAACATCTGTTACATAAGCATATAGTGAGTACTCTAATCGACCTTCTCGGACTCTCCGGGCGTGAGGGGTGGGTGAGGGGACCGGCAGGCTGTCACAGCCCCTTCGAAAGGGACTTGGGGCTGGGAGATGTCGCAGTCAACTAGGAAAGGAGAGCCAATCAGCAAGTGGAGCGTCCCACGCCGTTTGTCAAATGCATCTCCGGATTAGCTCTACTCATACGTATATCTTGGGGGTGACTAGGTGATGTCCGTGTTCAAGACACTAGCGTGCTAAGCCTGGCATTTCAGTTTGCACAGCGCTGTAAGTTTTGTCTCAATCTTCCTGTCCGCCAGCGAACCTGGAGCACGTCTGTTAGCGGTAAATTTATTTATTTATGTATTTATTTGAGACGGAGTTTCCCTCTTGTCACCCAGGCTGGAGTCCAACTGCGCGATCTCGGCTCACCGCAACTTCCGCCTCCCAGGTTCACGCGATTCTCCTGCCTCGGCCTCTCTAGTAGCTGGGATTACAGGCATGTGCCACCACGCCTGCCTAATTTTGTATTTTTAGTAGAGACGTGGTTTCTCCAGTTGGTCAGACTGGTCTCGAACTCCCGACCTCAGGTGATCCACCCGCCTTGGCCTCCCAAAGTGCTGGGATTACAGGCTTGAGCCACCGCGCCCGGCCAGCGGTAAATTATTTACCCACATTCCGAAAAGGAAAACGGGCGCCCGCGCGCAAGGACATACTCCTCGATGGTCACTCAACCAGAACGCCGCTGCTCCGGCGCCACTGCTTGACCTAGCGCACCGCCCCCTCCCCGACGCGGGCGCCGTCGGGCTGCTGCGCCATGCGCGCGACAGGGAAAGGAGGGGTCGCGCTAGGTTGCGTCACTCGTCTGCGACGGCGCCTGCGCGAAACACCATGCTGATGGCAAGGTGCAGCGGTCCTGTCTTGCTCTGCCTGCGGCAGGGACTCGGAACCAATTCATTCCTGCGCGGCCTAGGGCAAGAGCCCTTCGAAGGAGCTCGGTCACTGTGTTGCAGGTCCTCGCCTAGAGACCTGCGAGACGGAGAAAGAGAGCACGAGGCGGCACAAAGGAAAGCCCCAGGAGCAGAGTCTTGCCCATCTCTCCCTCTGAGCATCTCGGACATTGGGACCGGATGTCTTTCGTCACTGGAAAACCTCAGACTGACTCCGAGGGAAGAGTCATCCCCTCGAGAGCGCGAGGACTCAAGTGGAGACCAGGGCCGGTGCGGTCCGGCACACCAGATATCCGAGGATCCTTCGATGCTCTCGCAGGCCCAGTCTGCTACCGAGATCGAAGAGCCTCACGTCTCCCCTTCTTGTTCAACTTCAAGACAGAGACCCTTTCAGGTTGGGGAACTGATTTTAGCTGAGACTGAGAAGAGAGAAACACAATTTAAGAAATTATTTAGATTGAACAAAGTTGGACTCTTAAATAGTAGCTGGGGGGCAGTCCCGTTCAGCAAGATCGTGGGCAAGTTCCCCGGCCAGATACTGAGGAGTTCCTTGGGTAAGCAGTTCACGCTGAGGAGGCCAGCATTGGAAGACTATGTATTATTGATGAAAAGAGGGACTGCCGTAACAGTCCCAAAGGTAATGTGATGGAGATAAGGTGTGTATTGTTTCCAGGAGGAGCAAAGACAGATGCAGTACTCAGTCCTGATTAATGTACTCAAAGCATATCTCAGAACGTCTGGATTTTTTATTGTACTCAGGCTTTTAAGATAAACCAATGGATATAACTTTTACATATCATGATGAAAATTAGCATTAGGAAATGTCCAGATTTTAATTTTAACTTGGGAGTCTCGATTCCCTTATTTGTAAAATGTGGATAATATTTCAACTTTCTGTTAGGGTGATGTGAACTCATTAGGTACATAGTAAGTACTAATTTTGTTCCCCATTACTCTTAAGTTTACGACTTCAGGACTCAAGAGAATGTTGAACTCTTAGGGACAATTTTTTAGTACTACTATGATGATATTTTAATAATATTTAATAATCATGTTACAAGAGTATATTTTATCAACAGTAGATACATTACGGTGCTTTTTCCTTTAGGGAAGAAATAGAGTTTTATGTTAAAATAGCTAACATTCAACACCAAACATAAAATGACGTCTTTATTAAAAAGTTAACTGCCTAAAGCCTAGTTTCAGTTTTTTTTTTTGTTTTTTTTTTTTGAGACAGGTTCTCACCGTGTCATCCAGGCTGGAGTGAAATGTTGCGATCTTGGCTCACTGCAACCTCTGCCTCCCAGGTTCCAGCGATTCTCCCACCACAGCCCCCTGAGTACCTGGGACTACAGGCATGCGCCACCACCCCGGGCTAATTTTTGTAGAGACGGGGGCGGGGCGGGGGGCGGCGGGGGTTTCGCCTTTTTGCTCAGGCTGGTCTTCAACTCCTGGCCTCAAGTGATCCGCCCACCTCTGCCTCCCAGTGCTGGGATTACAGGCGGGAACCACCGCGCCCAGCCCTAGTTTGAAGTTTATGCTAATCATCTATTGCTAGCAGATTATTTCAATCCTTAGTCACAGTCACAGTCCTTGAGTAGAATGTTCCTGTGTAACACAACTCCTCCTTTCTCCAGATCAGGATTCATTCATTATTTATTCAGCAAATGATTGACTGCCTTACATACTCAAGGCACTATTTAGGGAAGTATAGTGTTGAACTGCAGTCCTCACCCTCAACATAGACCTTACATTCTAGAAGGGGTGACAAAGAACAAACAAGTAAATGAAAGAATAAGGTCATTTCCAGTAGTATTAAGTGTCATGAAGACAAATACATTAACAATGACATTGGGGTGACCTGGGGTACGAGCATACTTTATGTCAGGTGAGTAGAGATGGTCTCCAAGGAGGTACACTTGATAGGAAACCTAAATAAGGAAGAGCTTGCCTTGTAAAGATCTAGGATAAGAATTGTTCTTGCAAAGGGAGGAATACTGCAGAGTTTCTGTTGTGGCCTCTGGGTCAGATGAGGGTCCCTCTATGAGGTGCGGTTTGAGTATTTTATTCCATTTGTAGTGAAGGACCATTAGAAGTTTCTGAGTAGGAATCCAGTCTGTATTTTAAACGGTCTACCCAGGGACTAAGAAAACTTTCCTCAGAAGCTTAGGCTACTGAGGTATAATAAGCTTTTTTTTTAAAGACAGGCTCTTGCTATATCACCCAGGCTAGAGTGCAGTGGCTCAATCACCTCTTACTGTAGCCTCAACCTCCCGGGCTCCAACAATTCTCACACCTCAACCTCCTGAGTAGCTGGGACCACAGGTGTACGCCACTATAGCTAATCAAAAAAAAATTTTTTTTTAGAGTTGGGGTCACCCTAACTTGCCCAGACTGGTCTCAAACTTCTCTAGGCTCAAGGGATCCTCCCTTGAGGGTGCCGGGATTACAGGTGAGAATGACCGCTCCTGGCCATGGTATCGTAAGCTCTTGAAGAAAACTAAAGACTTTTGTAATTTTATCTTGCTTCCCCGTGTCTCCTTTCTCCCCATTAGACAAAATGAAGAAAGATTAGTTACATTTCATGAAGTTATAAATAGGCATCCTTAGTGTACTTTCTGCCTTTCCGTTTGTTACAGATATAAGTCACATTGTTCTACTCTAAGGAGGAATTTAAGTACTAAATTTGTTAGGTGTTGACTTCTCTTTATAGCTTCCAAGTAGTAGCTGGAGATAGTTTAACTTCAACTTTTACAACTTTGAAATGCTTGAGGGAATACCTCCACTGTTGTTTAAAAACTGATCTCCCTGTAAGAATTACATAATTCCATCTTAGTATTACAAAGTATGACTGGAGGCCGAATGCGGTGCCTCACGCTTGTAATCTCAGTATTTTGGGAGGCTGAGGCAGGAGGATCATTTGAGCCCGGAAGTTTGAGACCAGTTAGGGCAACACAGGGAGACCTTGTCTCCACAAAAAATAAAAAATTAGCCAGGTATGATGGCACACACTTGTGATCCCAGCTACACAGGAGGCTGAAATGGGAGGATGGCTTGAGCCCAGGAGTTTGAGGCTGCAGTGAGCCATGATCTTGCCACTGCACTCCAGCCTAGGGAACAGTGTAAGACCCTGTCTCAAAAAAAAGGTGAGGGGGCAGGTGCAGTCACTCGCACCTGTAATCTCAGTGCTTTGTGAGGCCAAGGCAGTAGGACTCCTGGAGGCTAGGGTCAAGGCTAACCTGGCCAACCTAGCAGGACCCCATCTTTATAAAAAATAGAAAAAAATTAGTTGGGCATGGTGGTACATGCCTGTGGTCCCAGCTACTTTGGAGGCTGAGGTGGGAGGATGGCTTGAGCCCAGAAGTTCGAGGCTGCAGTGAGCTACTGTTGCACTACTACACTCCAGTCTGAGCGACAGGGTGAGACCCTTTCACCAAAAAAATTTGTTTAATAAATTAAAAAAAAAAACAGTTTTTATTAATGTCATCCATAACATTCGTGTTGTGTTAACAAAAACAATTCCAATTATATGTTTGGCAAATGGGTCCTCCAATTTATTTCTAGCATAGTCCCTTTTTTTCCTTATATAGCAGAGCTCCCCTACCCCCAGGCTGAGGACTGGTACCAGTGCATGGCCTGTAACAGGGAACCAGACCACACAGCAGGTTAGCGGTGGTAGTGAGCATTACTGCCTGAGCTCCATCTCTTGTCAGCTCAGCCATGGCATTAGATTCTCATAGGAGTGCAAACTCCTGTGAACTGCACATGCGCCGGATGTAGGTTGCATGCCCCTTATAAGAGACTGACTAATGCCTGATAATCTGAGGTGGAACAGTTTCATCCCAAAACCATCACCCTCTCCCCAATCTGTAGAAAAATTGTCTTCCACGAAATGGGTCCCTGGTGCCCAAAAGGTTGGGGACCACTGTTATACAGTATCTTAATTCTAAATTAGAAGCTCATCATTTGGTCGGGCACGTTGGCTCACGACTGTAATCGTGGGAGGCTGAGGCCGGCAGATCACCTGAAATCAGGAGTTTGAGACCAGCCTGGCCAACATGGTGAAACCCCATCTCTCCCAAAAATACAAAAAATTAGCTGGGCGTGGTGGCAGGTGCCTGTAATCCTAGCTATTTGGAAGGCTGAGGCAGGAGAATCGCTTGAACCCAGGAGGCGGAGGTTACTGTGAGCCGAGATTGTACCACTGCACTCCAGCCTGGGTGACAGAGCGAGACTCTGTCCCAAAAAAAATAAATAAGTTCATCATTTTGGGCTGGGCAGGGTGGTTTACGCCAGTAATCCCAGCACTTTGGGAGGCCAAGGCGAGCGGATCACCTGAGGTCAGGAGTTCAAGACCAGCCTGGCCAACATGGGGAAACCCCGTCTCTACTAAAAATACAAAAATTAGCTGGGCATGGTGACAGGCACCTGTAATCCCAGCTGTTTGGGAGGCTGAGGCAGGAGAATCGCTTGAACCCGGGAGGTTGCAGTGAGCCAAGATCACGCCATCGTACTCCAGCCTGGGGGACAAGAGCGAGACTTCGTCTCCAAAAAAAAAAAGAAGTTCATCATTTTATGCAGAGATTATATAGTAAATTCCTAACTGGTCTTCCTGCCTCTTGATTTTTCTCCAGTAGATCCTGTATTCTTCTGCCAGATTAATCCTCATAAAATGCCATTTATATCACCTCGGTGACACACCCTGGTTGCTTATCAGGCCGAGTTCTAATGCCTCATACTGGCATTTAGTTCTCTGCGTATCTCTCCTGAGATAACAAACTGTATTTATTCTACCTCTGCTTTGTTTAAAGCTGTTTTTACCTTGTGATTGTTCCCATAAATTGTCTACTCTTTGTCTTTAAACTAGGCCATCCTGCTGCTCTAAGAACTTATATTGTCTGTAATTTTGGTATTATTCTGAAGTGTTGCCTTATTTGTTAACTGATTCTTGGATCTCTCTTATTTTATCAAGTGAAATATAAACTCTGTAGGCAGAGTGCCTGTAGGCAGGTCCAGAGTCTGATTCGTTTTTTCACTCCCTTCTCCATACTCGACAGTGTAAGATAAGACTAGGCGCTTAGTACATATTTATTGGTCGCTGAGTCACCCATACTGTTTTCAATCTTAGGATATTAGTATGATTCTCTTGATGATGGATATCAGCCCAGGTGATACTGTTTTGGAAGCTGGCTCAGGCTCTGGTGGAATGAGCTTATTTTTATCCAAAGCAGGTAAGAGATTGGATTGAGCTGGATCTCGGTAACAAAGAAAACGTTCAATTTGTTCATAATAACAGAAAGTTATGAGGATATTTGGGAAAATACCTAACATTGAGGTAGCATTCTCCTAGAATCTGAATGTGAGCACCTATTTTTCTTTCCGTTTTGTACATTTATTCCAGTCAGTCTCTTTCTGATCCTCCCTCCATTTTCTTTGCTTTGTCTTGTTTCCTTCATGCTCTCTAATGCTGCTGCTTTTTTCTTAAGTATACGTTTTATTGGAATATAACATAGCTACAGACAAGTGTGCAGATCGCGAGTGTATACCTCAGCGAATCTTTGTATAGTGACCACTCGTACTTATTACCCAGATCAAGGTAAGGAGTGTCTCTGCCCCACAGATGCCTCCTCGTGTCCCCTCCCAGTCCTTATCATCACCAAAGGAAACCACTATTGTGACTTTTATCACCACTGATTAGTTTTGCCTCCTTTGAACTTATATAAATGGAATCATACAGTATGTACTCCTTTGTATCTGGCTACTCTTGTTCATCATTATGTTTGTGAGATTCACTCATTGCATACAGCAGTAGTTCTTTCATTTTAGTTGCTGTATAGTACTCTCTTCATAATTTACCCATTTACTGTTGATAGACATTTGAGTTGGATATTATAAATAGTGCTGCTCGGAACCTCCTTGTGTACTTGTCATGTTATTGTTGAATAATAGTGCCAGATGAATACTTAGCCTGAGGGAATATGGAAAGAGGTTGTCAGCTGCTGGGGGGAGAGTTAGACATCGTTAGGACCAAAGAATTATAGTAGGTGTTCATAAAGAAATTAATCATAGTACAGAGCTGTTAAGTAAAAAGCTACATTATGAAGAATTATCTCTTTTTTTTCCAGAAAGTCTCTAAAAATTGTCAGTTGGTAAAAGTACTGCTTGAAGGTGGGTGTCTGATCAAAAATCAAGAGGTGTATATTAAACATATATTTTTTCATGTTCCTACCACTTAATTTCTGGTTACTTTTATGCTAGTTGATTAGTACCCCTTTGCCTACCTAATTTCTCTGAGTGTCAGGGTTGTTTTGGGTGGTCTGACTGTCTGTACAGTGTTCTCTTCCCTACATAATGATAAACTGTTGAATAGTCACAGCACTTTCTTTGAGTAGATTTTATAAAGATTACAGATAGAAATATGCTGAAATTAAACTCACACCTTTTGTTCTTTGACCTAATGTCTTCACATATGAATATTATCTAGATTATATTAACCCAGTAAATTCATTCTGGGCTCCTCAATCTTTTGTTTGACTTTTCTGTACATAGTTAAAGGCAGTCATTTTCTCATAATCTATGACAAATTCCTAACTGCATGGTTTCATTTGACAAAGTGGATTCATAAAAACTGGTGAGAACGGATAAATGCCTTTATTTCTAAAATATATAGTATCAGAGGAGTGTCATGGCTTGAATAATCCTAAACTATAAATGTGCAAGAAATTATTGCTATTTACCTATGTTATGGGTATTTTTCTCCATAATTTCTTTTCCAGTTGTTTAGTTTATATTACTTTTTTTTTTTTTTTTTTTTTTGAGGCTGTTCCCCAGGCTGGAATGCAGTGGTATGATCGTGGCTCACTCCAGCATTGACCCTCGGAGCTCAAGTGATCTTCCTGTCCCAGGCTCCCAAGTAGCTGGGACAATAGGCACATACCACCAAAGCTGGCTAATTTTTTAAATTTTTTGTAGAGACTGGGTCTCACTGTTGCCCAGGCTGGTCTTAACTCCTGGCCTCAAGCAATCTTGCCTAAGCCTCCCAAAGTGCTGGGATTACAGGCATGGGGCACCACACCCAGCTTATATTACTATTAACATTAATTTTTATCTCCTGAGAACCTCATAACTTGCAGTTGGAGTTACATTTCAAAAGATACCTTGGAATTTAAACTTCTTTAGTAAACTGTAAACTGATTGATCTGGGATAATCTCCAAATGGTATCAAATCGCTTCAGATAGAGGTGGGTGGAAAGTTAATTGCCTTAAGTTAAAATGTAGTACTCCTCTCTGGAATTGCAGTATTACCGTGCTAATTAGTTTAAAAGTTCTTCACACACACACATACACACACACACACAAATATATGTACCTTTTGTTTGTTTGTTTGTTTGTTTTTTTGGTAGAGACAGGGTTTCACCATGTTGGCCAGGCTGGTCTCAAACTCCTGACCTCAAGTGATCTGCCTGCCTTGCCCTCCCGAAGTGCTGGGATTACCTTGGCGAGCCACTGTATCAGGCCACAAATACCTTTTAAATATGTGAAAGACTCAACCTCATCCATAGTAAAAGAAATGCAAGTTAAAACTACATTAAAAGGCTGAGCGTCATGGCTCACATCTGTAATCCCAGCACTTTGGGAGGCCGAGGCAGGCAGATTGCTTGAGCTCATGAGTTTGAGACCAGCTCGGGCAAAATGGCAAAGCCTCGTCTCTACCAAAAATACAAAAAATTAGCTGGGTGTGGTGGCACACATCTGTCATCCCAGCTGTTCAAGAGGCTGAGGTGGGAGGATTGCTTGGGCCTGGGAGGTGGGGGGTGCAGTAAGCCATGATTGCACCACTGCACTCCAACCTAGGTGATAGAGTGAGACCCTGTCTCAAAAAAAAAAACAAAAAACCTCAAAAATCTACATTAAAAATGATAAACTCTATTCATTTTTTAGATTGACACAGATAAAAAGTTCAAAAACTTTCAGGGAGAGTATGGAGATACAGGTTTTGTTTATTTTGAGATGCAGTCATGCACTGTTGCCCAGGCTGGAGTGCAGTGTCGCATCTGGGCTCACTGCAACCTCCACCTCCCGGGTTCATGCCGTCCTTCTGCCTCCTGAGTAGCTGGGACTACAGGCATGTGCCACCATGCAGGCTAAGTTTTTGTATTTTTTTTTTTTTTTTTTGAGACGGAGTCTTGAGACGGAGTCTCGCTCTGTCGCCCGGGCTGGAGTGCAGTGGCCAGATCTCAGCTCACTGCAAGCTCCGCCTCCCGGGTTTACGCCATTCTCCTGCCTCAGCCTCCTGTGTAGCTGGGACTACAGGCGCCCGCCACCTCGCCCGGCTAGTTTTTTGTATTTTTTAGTAGAGACGGGGTTTCACCGTGTTAGCCAGGATGGTCTTGATCACCTGACCTCGTGATCCACCCGCCTTGGCCTCCCAAAGTGCTGGGATTACAGGCGTGAGCCACTGTGCCCGGCCTGAGATATAGGTATTCTAATGCATTGCTGGTTGGCATATAAGTTGACACCACTTATGTGAAGGACAATGTAATATTATGTGAATAAATTCATATGACCCTTGAGCCAGCAATTCCATTTTTAGGACTTTATCCTATAGAGATATACTGGCTTGATACAAAGACGTAGGTGTAAGAATTTTCATTGCCATATTGTTTGTATTAGCATATGACTAGAAACAAGCTAAATGTTCATCATAGCCATACACTGGAATATAATGGCTGTTAAAAAGAATGCAATTTTTTAAAAAAGAATGCAGTACATCTAGAATCACTGAAATGACATTGTCGGTAAGTAAGAAGGAAGGTACAGGACAGTGTGTATAATACACCACATTGTGTATTAAAAACAGATAGATACTTGCATGCTTGTATAGGCAGTGACTATCACAGGAAAGGTAAATAGCTGGTGATGTGGTTGCCTCTGAAGAGGGAGGGAGATTAATTGGGGATCAGGGATGAGAGGAAGACTTGTAACATTGAACTATTTGAATTTTTTTTTTCACATACATGTAGTACCTTTGCAAATACGTTTTTAACACTTTTTAATAAACTGATTAACATTGTGAAATATCAAATTATTTTTTACTTAAGTTGGATCACAAGGACGAGTCATAAGTTTTGAGGTACGAAAAGACCACCATGATCTGGCTAAGAAGAATTACGAACACTGGCGTGATTCATGGAAATTAAGTCATGTAGAAGAGTGGCCAGACAATGTGGATTTTATTCATAAGGATATTTCAGGAGCAACCGAAGACATAAAAGCTTTAACATTTGACGCAGTAAGTTTTCTAACATGGGTCCTGTGTTACTCCTTTGACTACAGAGAAGATAGGGGTCAGGCTTCTTTTGCATGGGCAAGGGTCTTCCTTCATTTGCTTCATGTCTATCTCTAGGGATGGAAAGAATATTTTCGTTTCATGCCTTTTAATCTCATGGTGGGATTTTGGGCAGAGACATACTGAGTTACCGAGTTGGGTGCTGAAGTTGTCATTGAATGTGGAATGATGACTGAAAACTAGGACCAAAGACTAGTCAAGCATCATGAACCTCAGCATTTCCAGGATAAATCGTACTTTGGAAGCAGCATTGGAAGCATATTGAACCCAGCACCTAACCTGAATTTTGAGATTTGGGGGAATAAGTAGCTTCCATTTGACAAGGAATAGACAGAAGGCATCTTCAACTAGACAGTTAAGTCAGGATATCAAGAGGAGTGTGTTCATTGGAGATGTCGAGGACGGAGGTGTTCATCATGAACAAAGCTCCAGAAAGTGGAGCAGAGAGATTGTGAGGAAGAGAAACACTGGGAGGTTGACTTAGGGAAAAGAAGCAGAGAAGATGAAGGTAAAAAGATAGATGACAAGAGAGGATACATTAAGCTGTGATCAAACATGGTGGAGATCTGGGACATGGAAGTATTTGCTGGCTTAAGAGTTTCAGAATTCCAGAGTAAGTTGCCCTGTCCTTGGTGATGCCACTTCACAGTTCATAGCTTCACAGTATGAACCGAGGCCTGGTTAGGAGTCTTCCTTCCTTTCCTTAATTGGCTGCCGGAAGGATAGACTATTTTGGTGAGAAATGAAGCAAAGTTCAAAGAGGAGAGAAAATCTTTATTTATTTTTTTTTTTGGAGACAGAGTCTCATTCTGTTGCTCAGGGTGGAGTGCAGTGGTACAGTTTCAGCTCACTGCAACCTCCATCTCCCAGGTTCAAGCAATTCTCCTGCCTCGGCCTCCCAAATAGCTGGGATTACAGGCACATGCCACCATGCCCAGCTAATTTTTGTATTTTTAGTAGAGATGGGGTTTCACCATGTTGGCCAGGCTGGTCTCGAACTCTTAACCTTAGATGATCTGCCTGCCTCAGTCTCCCAAAGTGCTGGGATTACAGGCATGAGCCACTGTGCCCGGCCGTGAAAATGATTTTTATCAGCACTGGCTTCTAGCTCTGATATAACTAAAGCCTATAGTTTTAGTGGCACAGCTTCCTGTACAGAAAGACCTCAGTTCATTTTTCTCATCTATGAGTTGCTTGTTACAGCTCAATAAGGGGGAAAGGGCTCTGTTTAGGTCATCCATAGGAATGTCAAAAATATCTGGGAGATTAAATAGGTCATCAGAATTTCGTTTGATGAGCATGAAACACAACAAAGGATTTTAACGATATCATTGAAGCTTTGTAGAAACCTGCTGAACCATTCCTGATCTAAAAATAATACTCCTTTTTAGATTTATTCAGCTGACTCTCTCTTGAATAATAGTGCCAGATGATTACTCAATATGAGGGAATAGAGAAGGACGGTGGGAGGGTGTCAGCTGCTGGGGAAGAGTTATATACCGTTAGGACCAAAGAATTATAGTTGGTGTTCATGAATAATTGTAATACATAACTTTTTGTGTGTGTGTGTCGCCCAGGCTGGAGTGCAGTGGCTGGATCTCAGCTCACTGCAAGCTCCGCCTCCCAGGTTTATGCCATTCTCCTGCCTCAGCCTCCCAAGTAGCTGGGACTACAGGCGCCCGCCACCTCGCCCAGCTAGTTTTTTATATTTTTTAGAAGAGACGGAGTTTCACCGTGTTAGCCAGCATGGTCTCAATCTCCTGACCTCGTGATCCACCCGTCTTGGCCTCCCAAAGTACAGAACTATTAAATAGAAGCTAGATCATGAATAATTTCCTTTTCTTAAGAATGTTTCTAAAAATTGTACATTGGTAAGAGTACTGCTTGAGGGTTGATGTTTGATCAAAGATCAAAAGGCGTATGTTAAACGTAAATTTCTGGCTGGGTGCGGTGGCTGTAATCCCAGCACTTTGGGAGGCCGAGGCAGGCGGATCTCCTGAGGTCAGGAACTCGAGACCAGGCTGGCCAAGATGGTGAAACTCCATCTCTACTAAAAATACAAAAATTAGCCAGGCGTGATGGCGGTTGCCTGTAATCCCAGCTACTCAGGAGGCTGAGACAAGAGAATTGATTGAACCCGGGAGGCGGAGGTTGCAGTGAGCTGAGGTTGCACCACTGCACTCAAGCCTGGGCGACACAGCAAGAGTCTGTCTCAAAATAAGCAAACAAACAAACAAATTTCTTTTCACATTCCCACTATTTTATTTTTTTTTAATTGTTGCTCCCTTTGTCTACTTAATTCTTCTCCTAGCTGCCATCTCACCTTCTGGGCCTTCCCTCTTCTAATCCATTCCCCTCATCTCTAGAATAATTTTCCTAAAATATACTTCTGGGCTGGGTGCAGTGGCTCACGCCTATAATTCCAGCACTCTGGGAGACCTGAGGTCAGGAGTTCGAGACCAGCCTGGCCAACATGGCAAAACCCCGTCTCGACTAAAAATACAAAATGTAGGCCGGGAGCAGTGGCTCACGCCTGTAATCCCAGCACTTTGGAAGGCCAAGGCGGGCAGATCACCTGAGGCGGAAGTTTGAGACCAGCCCGATCAATGTGGGAGGTCAGGAATTCGAGACCAGCCTGGCCAATATGGTGAAACCCCATCTCTACTAAAAATACAAATAAAATTAGCTGGGCGTGGTGACTTGTGCCTGTAATCCCAGCTACTCGGAAGGCTTAGGCAGGAGAAGCGCTTGAACTCGGGAGTTGGAGGTTGCGGTGAGCTGAGATTGCGTCATTGCACTCCAGCCTGGGCAACAAGAGTGAAACTCCATTCTAAAACAAACAAACAAACAAACAAAACAAAACAAAGAAAAATACAAAAATTAGCCAGGCATGGTGGTGGGTGCCTACAATCCCAGCTACTTGGGAGGCTGAGTCAGGAGAATCGCTTGAACCTGGGAGGTGGAGGTTCCAGTGAGCCAAGATTGCGCCACTGCACTCCAGCCTGGGCAACAGAGCAAGACTCTATCTCAAAAAAGAAAAAAAGAAAAAAATATATGTATGTATGTGTATATATGTATTTCTGATACTGTCATTCTCCTGCTGAAAAAACAATCCAGAGCTTTTCATTCAAAGATTTCTGGTGTCCAGACTCTGATCTGAACCTTCCTTTCTCTAGTCCTTTATGTAACCTGACTCCATATATGCCAACCAAAATGATGCTAAATGAATAAAAAAGGTGTTAAACCATAAAGAAAAACAGAAAAAAGAGCATGACTAATAAAAGAATTTAACACATTTTGGAAACAGCTTAACCATCAAAAGGGAGTGGACACAATGGAATACTAACAATAAATGTACTCTAGCTACATCAATAAATCTGAAAGACTTGGTGTTTGGTAGAAAAAGCATTATAAGAGAGTATGTGAAATGACTACCTACATGGAAAATTTAAAACTACACAACATATATTGTTTGTAGCTATTTACATATGTTGTAGAAGTATAAAATTTGGGAATGTTACCGACTTCTGGACACTGACTGTTTCTGAGGAGAGAAAAGGAAGGGAAAGGAATAGAGGGAGATAAGTTTGGGGTCCATTCAGGTTGGTCCACCGCCAGGCTCCATAATCGCCAGTGTAACCTTGGGTAAGTCACTGAATCTTTCCATGCCTCAGTCACCTCATGTATTAAACAGTAATGATAATAGTACCTATTTCATAGAGTTGTTGAGGATTAAATAAGAAAATTCATGTGAAGTACCTGGTACATAGTAAGCAATGAATAAATGTTAGTTATGATTTTCATCATTTTGATTTTCTTCCTTTCCCCTTTTCTCTGCCTGTTTAAACTCTGTTCTCCCTTCAAAGCTTAAAGGTCATCTCTTGCGTGAAATATCCTGCCTCATCTAGCCAGAGGATTATTACCTTCCTCTGAATTTCTGAACCACTTTGTTTCTGGAGTCAATAAGCATTTATTAAGAACCTGCCATGTACCATGTGCTGTGCTAAGACAAAAATTATACATTCAAAAGAGCTTTCAAAAACAAAAAATGAATAAGAAATATTTAAAAATTAAAAAATAATAGCTGTCGGCCAGGCATGATGGCTCATGGCGGTAATCCCAGCACTTTGGGAAGCTAAGACGGGTGGATCACTTGAGGTCAGGCGTTTGAGACCAGCCTGACCAATATAGTGAAACCCCATCTCTACTAAAAGTATGAAAATTAGCTGGGTGTGGTGGTGGTGCATGCCAGTAATCCCAGCTGCTTGGGAGGCTGAGATAGGAGGATCGCTGGAACCCAGGAGGCAGAGGCTGCAGTGAGCTGAGATTGCACCACTGCACTCTAGCCTAGGTGACAGAGCAAGACTCTGTCTCAAAAATTAAATTAAATTGGCCGGGTGCAGTGACTTACGCCTGTAATCCCAGCACTTTGGAAGGCTGAGGCGAGTGGATCATGAGGTCAGGAGTTCGAGACCAGCCTGGCCAACATGGTGAAACCCTGTCTCTACTAAAGATTAAAAAAAAAAAATTAGTTTTGCGTGGTGGTACACACCTGTAATCCCAGCTACTCGGGAGGCTGAGGCAGGAGAATCTCTGGAACCTGGGAGGTGGAGGTTGCAGTGAGCTAAGATCGCACCATTGCACCCCAACCTGGGCAACAGGGCAAGACTCCATCTCAAAAAAAAAATAATAATAAATAAGATGAAATGAAATGGACACATAAACAGTTACTAAAAAGACTCAGAAGTATAAAACACCATGGCTGTAGAACTTCGTATGAGGAGATGAGGCTGTAAATGCAGTCATGAGGGGCTAGATAATAAAGAAAGTTGTATGTTTATCAAGCTGGATAGTATGGACATTATCTTGTAAGTAGGAGAGCAGACTGTCTAGATTTCTGTTTTAGAATAATTCTGGAGAAAGAATGGAGGTTGGGAGTCTATGCAGAAAGGTATTATAATATTTCAACAAGATATGATGAGGTCTTGACCTAAGTCA